CTTAGCAGCCTGGCTGGTGTGTGATGTACATTCCTGAGACGTTCCTTCCTCTGTGTTTGATGAAGTGGATGCTGTTACATAAGGGCATTAAGGCATTGGATCGTGGCTTCAGAGCACAGTGCAGGCAGTTGGAAGGCAGGAAGGTGACGAGTTGGAATCATAGTGTGGGCCCAAATTCAGCAAAGCATTACTGCTAAACAGGGGCCTGGGGTATGTTTTCAGTTTTTGTGATTCCTGTGAGACTTGAACGCCTGTTTATCGGTTTGCAGTGCAGGTGCCTAGGAGCCATGTTTTTCGTAGGGAGAGCGGTGTGCTTGCGTAGCTTGTGTGCTCTTCAGCAAGGGCATGGTAAAAAGCAGTCCTGGATGTTGGGTGAGGAGCAGGGAGAGAGGCGAGCCCAGTGTGGAGACAGCAGGGGAAGCAGCTGGCTTCCACCCAGCGCCCCGGTGGAGTGGCAAGGTGATGAGATGAAGCAGCGTTGAAGGTGTTTTTCCAGGAGCTGTGACTTCCAGGGCTCGGGAGCAGAGCTGTCCCTGGGGTTGCTTTCACGGGACACCACCCAGCCCTCCTCAGGACCCACGGAGAGTGTGTGGGTGACAAAGGTGTCACTGAGCGACAGCTTCAGGGTGGGAATGCGGGGAACACAGCGCCCAGGGGGGAGATGGGCAGCCTGGGGAGGTGGGGGGGAAGGTCAGCCGCAAGGAGAGAGTCTGCCCCCATTGGAAAAAAGGGCCTGTTGAATGCCTTGGGTGAGATGTTGGAGAACAGGAAGTCAGTGAGGTGAAAATGTGCCACCTGGGTACCGTTTGAGCCCCCCAACCCCACAAGTGCTGAGCAAAGCTCTCCACGCCCCCTGGTGCTCTTTGCAGTTCCCCAGTCAGCTCCCGTTGCCTCTCGGCGTTGCCTCGACTCTCCTTGTGCAAAGTCGGTGCCCCCGATGGAGATGTTCAGCCTGGAGGAGCTGGAGGAGCGGCAGCTCTTGGCTGCCTGCAGCCACCCCAGCATCCCCAGAGATGGGCACGGGGACCTGGGGGGGCTTTGGTGCTGCATGAACGACTGCAGGCAGAGGTGTAGCAAAGGGAACGCAGAACATTTAATAGTGCAATGTACAAAACAGTGCATAAATGACAATATTCCCGACCATTTCCCACCCCTAACAACAGGGGCCCCTAACAGCCCCCCCTGCTCCCTCCCACCAATATTTTCTTCCCCCTCCAAAAAACTTCCCAGCCTCCCTAAAATCCCACGCCAGCAATTCCTTCCTCCCAATTCCAGCAATTTTGGAGTACAATATTATCAGAGTTCAATTTCTGACCCAGAATTGCCACCCCACAAAATTCCTTCCCCCTCTGCTGGCAGGCGAGATCCGTGCCCGGTAGCTACCCTTCCCTCCTCCTTGGCATGACTGCAAGTGCTTTGGCTTCCTCCAGAGAGATGCTTTGCTCTGACTGGCAGCCTCAGGCTCCTTCTGGGCTGTCGACCAGGCAGTTGCATCAGTGCTGGAGGAAGCAGCACGCCCAGTAGCTACCCTTTCCTCCTCCCAGGCACGGATGCTAAGATTCTGGCCTGCTCCAGACTGGGTGGGCATCTGTGCTTTGCCCTGGCGGTGCATTCTTTTTCGTTGTTTGTTGGTGTTGCTGCTGCTGCTGGCAGGGTTGTTGCTGGTTTGCACTGTGCCCAGAAAGCGTCCCGAGTCCTCGTGCTGGCCGCCGTGCTGACAGCGGCAGCTTGGCCTAGCGCCGGCGTTTGTGGCGTGGCGCACGGTGGCAGCGTGGCAGCTTCCTGTCTGTGGCTGGGATGCTGCCAGCGTGCTGCCTGTGCGCGGTGCTCTGGCCTCTGGTGGTGGAGCAGGCGGGCGTTGGGCTGGTGGGCGGCGCGGTGCTGTCCCCGTGGTGCTGGTCTGCCAGCCGGCAGGAGATGCATCCGGCTGGCAGTGCGAGGTGCCTGAGCAGCACGTGGGGCTGTTTGTGCGGCGCCTCTTCCACGAGCCGCCCAGTGCGCAGCAGAGGAGGCACGGGGCGCTTGGCTGGCTCGGTGCTGTCCCCGTGGTGCTGGTCTGCCAGCCGGCAGGAGATGCAGCCGGGTGGCAGTGCCAGTCGGGGGAGAACCACCCGGGGCTGCCTCTGCTGCACCTCTGCCATCGGGTGTGCAGTGCTGGGCGATGGAGGTGTGGGGGAAGGCAGTGGGCTGGGCAGTGCCAGGCGGGTGAGAATCACCCGGGGCTGCCTTCGCAGCACCTCTTCCATCAGGTGTGCATGGTTTGGCGATGGCGGTGTGGGAGCAGCCAGGGCGCTTGGCACGGGCAGCTGAGGGGATGCTGCCTGGTGCCCAAGTGAGTTGTTGAGGAGCCCAGGTTCAGCATCTGTGTCGCTGCTGAGCTCCCGGCTGGCCCTGGGGGAGTGAGGCAGCTCTGTGATGGAAGAGGAGTTGAGGCTGCTGGAGGCACGTGCGCTCGGTGGTTCTGTGGCAGTGGTGCGCTGCGTCAGCTCTTCCCTTTTGCAGCTGTCCAGAGCACTCACAGCTTCTGGAATAGCAGAACATCCCCCGGAACGATGATGGCAGCCTTCCCACCCCCGCTTGGTGCAGACACCCACCGGTCATCTGTGCAGACCACAAACTCACCTTCAATCCAGGTGAGCAAACGGTCGATTTCCACATGGCCGGCAAGACTGTTGGTGCTGGGTCTGTCTTCTGGGCAATGGAAGAAATGCCCAGTGGGGCAATGCCAGCTTTCCCCCAGCCACTCAGAGCAGACAGCCCCCAGCAGCTGTGCTGCTCCCAAACTCACCGCTGTTGATCCACGTGAGCAGATCGTCCATGTCTGCGGTGTCGTGCAGGATGCCTGGGTTGGCTGTCACTTCTGAAGAAGCAAGAAAATCCCCCGTGGGGCACTGCCAGCTTTCCCGCGCCCCCTGGGTGCGAGCACCCCCCCGCCAGCTCTGCTGCCCCCAGACTCACCCTGGTTGATCCACGTCAGGAGCTCAGCGATGTCCTCGGCGATTTCCTCCGGGGTGTCTGCGCTCGTTGTGGCTGCTGGAAAAGCAAGAGCATCCCCAGTGGGGCGGTGCCAGCTTTCCCACAGCCCCGTGGAGTAGACAGCCTGCCGCCTGCCCTGCAGCCCCTGAACTCACGGCCTGATTGCAGCGAGGCAGTGCTGCAGGTGAGCGGAGCCGTGGCAGGGTGGGGGCACACGTCGGTGGGCGCTGGGTGCCCCTGTTCCTCCGAGAGCAGCACGGCGTCTTGGAAGGTCTCCATCGGTGGCTCCCAGGTGGTGGGCAGGGTGCAGGGCCCGGGGAGCACCTGCTCCTGCAGGGAGGGTACCTGCAAAAGAGCTGGGGAGGGGCCGGGGCGCCCGGGGGCCTGTGGCAGGTAGGTGCCTGTGGGCTGCGGGGGCTCCGCGTGGAGGGGCACGGCCCCAGGCCACAGCCCCATCGGCCGCTGGGGTGGCAGCGTCCCTGCAGACAGGGGACGTCCTGAGCAGGGAGCAGGGGCGGGGGGGGGAGCCGTAGCTGGGTGCAGCCCCCCAGGTAGGAGCAGCAGCACCGGTAAGTGCAGCCCTGCAGTTGAGGTCAGGCCCACAGGTGGCAGCTGAGCCAGGACTGGGGTCGGCCCCCCGGGTGGGAGCTGCGCTGCCTGTCCCCAGGCACCTGGTAGCCCGGGCCAGACAGAGGGCTGAGGTGCCAGGTGGGTGGCAGTGGGGACAGGGAAGGGTTGGGGGGGTACCGGCATCGGTCCGCGGACGGTGGGCTGCATCCAGGCGGGGTCCGGTGGCGGCACAGTCGCGTCAAAGAAAGTGGCGTCGGGTGTCAGAGGCACCGTCAGCGCTCGAGGGAATCTCTCTGTGGGGAAATGCCAGACGGGGCGCTGGGCTGAGAGCCGGGGCATTGGGATGGGATCCGGGTCACAGGAGTGGGATCTGGGGTGCTGGGGTGCGATCTGGGTCACAGGGGTGTTTTCTGCGGCTCTGGGCTGAGATGTGGGGTCCCAGGGGTGAGATGTGGGGCGCTGGGGTCAGCTGGAGCGTCAGAGCAGGGGGAGCTGCTGCCTTACCTGCCATGACAGCTGGAGAGTGGCAGTTGGGGGAGCCCCTCCCCCCACGGGGGCTCTGTGACCGTTGGGCTCAGCCCCTTTCCCCCCGGCTTGAAAGTGCTTTGCCTTTTCGTACCCAGACATCCTTCCCATCCCCGTCGTTTCCCATCCCCAGGATCAGTGACTGTATGGATGGGCTTTTTGCAGCCCAGTGCCCTTCCTTCCCAAGGGTCTGCCCGTCCCAGTGAATAAGATGAGAGAGCCCCAAGGTCCTTGGTTTATTAAGGGCCTTTTTCTCCATCTCTCGGTTGTTTGTTCTTCTTTTCTTTCTGTTGGTCTGACATACTTGGCCCATCAGGTAATTCAGCAGGGAGTTGTGCGTTCTTGCAAAGCTGTGGCAGGTGGGTGCGTGCACTTCACTGCTGGTATGACAAAGCTGAAGATGCCGGAGCTGTGGGAGAGCTCTGGGAGTTGGATGGAGAGTTCTTGACCAAGGAAGAGCCCTTTGGTCCCAGCCCCCTGGGGAGAGGGTGGGATTGCTGAAGGGAGAGAGAGGTCTTTGAGTGATGTGAGGGGTCTGGGAAGGGAGCTGACAGGTTTTGGGTTCCTTTGCTGTGCTCTGCACAGGCTTTGACAGTGCTGGGGTTCGATTTTGAGTCACTCTGAAGAGCAAATGAGACAAAGGGTGTTTTGTGCAGCCTGGAACCCCTACAGAAGTAGGGGCTGCTGCCCAGGGTAGGTGCCCTGTCTCCACAATTGCTGACCACACTCTTCCCTTCTCCACAGTGACCACGGCCATCCCCTGAAGCTCCAGCCATGAAGACCCTGTACGTCATGTCTGATGGCCATCTGTCTGCGCTGCCCGTGGCTGTGATGGGTGCAGCTACCTCATGTCCCTTCAAACTGCCAGGCATCCAAGCTTCTCCTCCACCAGCTCTCCACTGACTGCAACGCCTTTGCCACCACAATGCATGGTGCTGGGGCAGGCCCAGACTCCCACCCTGACAGCAGGCCCGTTTCCAAAAACTCTGCTCACTTCCTCATCCTGCTGGCTCGTGAGAAGATCCTGTTGTCAGCTCTGCCAACCAGCACAGCAGAGGTGGGATTGTTGCGGGCAGTTGGAAGAGAGCAGGGGAATAACCATTTCCCGCTTTGGCTGTTATTTGTTGAGAAATGCTGTCTGGTGAGTGTTGAGTCAGGGCCTGAAGCACTGATGGAGCATCTGGGGAAAGGACCCAGTCAGCCCTGGGAGCCCAGGTGAGGGCAGTTCAGTTGTATGATGGAATGAGTGGAGCCTGGCTGCCCCTCTCTTAGACCTCACTGAAGGGCTGACCCTGCACTGGGCCAGGATCTCTGGTTGGAGATCCCTCCCTTGTGGAGTTTTCCCTGTGAGCCTGGATCTTCAGGGACAGGTGAGCACTTTTCCTTTTTCTTTGTAACACCATCTGTTGTGCCAGTCCCTTTGTGGTTACACCTCCTTCCACTGCACCGATCGTTCTGATTGTTACAGACGTCCTCTGCCCCTTCCCACCTGTAAAGCAAACAAGGCGATGACAGAGCCTTGATTTGAGATAGAGGAGCTATAGAACAGGATATCAAAGAAAGAGGAATCGACTCATCCCTCCCAGCTACAATTTGGCAGAAAGTGGTGAGCTGAGGAATGCAGCCTTCTGCGTTTGAACTGCGGTGTGCTGAAAGGTGAGAGGGGGCTGAGGGGTGGGGGGGGAGAGCTGTGCAGACTGACTGTGTGTGTGCTGCTGGGAGCACTGCTGAGATGGAGAGAGAGGAAGGCTCCCCGCTCGAGGTACTCGTGTGCTCACGCAGTGGTTCAGGCTGTGACCTGGCAATTCCACTGCACCACCCGTCCTGCACTGTCCATGTGCCACCTGCAGGTGTTGCCCAGCTTTTGGGGGACTTGCTGTGACCTCCCTGTCTCAGCACTGCCTTGTGCTCTGGACTTCACAGCATCTTGATGGTGAGTAGTGGTCCTGTGGAGATGCTGAGCAACGATTGTGAGCTGCGCCCTTTTCCTGGACCAGTATCCCAAGCCCTTCTCAGCCCAGGGCCTGTCTCTCTTTCCCTGGGGTTCTGTGGATAAGTCAGCAAGACGGGACTTTGCCAGCCACCTGGTTTCAGGTTCACCACCCCAATGACAGCAGGGCAGTCCTGCAGCTCATGGCAGCCCTATGGCTCTGCTCCTTTGCCAGGCTGGAGAGCTGAATCAGCTCCGATTCTGCAGATCCTTCCCTGAGTCCTGCTGCCGAGCACCGATACTTGTGCATCCTCTGGGCCACATCAGGACTGGAAAGAGGAGTAGATATCAGGCGGAAGGATCTGGCCTTCTGCTGGGTGATAGCCACCTGCATGGCCTGTTCCTGCTTTCTCTTTTCCCCAGGTGACATTGTGCTTCCCAAGGAGTGCGTGGACCTTTCTGATGGGAGTGAGCAGCAAGGAACTGACTGAATCACAGAATCATGGAATCACAAGGTTGGAAATGACCTGTAAGAGTCTCAGCTATAGAGGTCTTATAAGGGTCTCAGCTTCCTTCCTGCCCTGTGCTTGACTGAGGGACCCTGCGACCAGCTCACGAGGTGGCCATGGGCCCAGCTTTGCCAGCTTTCACTGCAAAAGGGAGCAGTTCAGGGATAGACCCAGCCTGGGTGAGCCTGAGCTTGACTCTAGCATCTGAGGGAGCTGTGGACATCAGCTGTGGACACGACTCATCGAGGTGTGGGTCAGCTGTGGATGCTCAGTGTTCTTAAGCAGCCCAGCTGTATCTCCAAGGCTTGTAGTCACAATTTCTCTGCGAGGCTGAGATACCCTGAGGATCATGGCGTCTCTCATTTTGCTCTCCTGCCCTTGCTCACAGTCTCTGAGGAACGACTTGAGCCCTGTGACCACGTCCTTGCTCGTGTGCTGGAGTCACTTTTGTGCATTTTGGTGTCAGGGCTCTTGGGGCAAAACGTGCCTGGACACTGCCACACGTGTAATGCCTTTCTGCGGTGCACACTGGAGGATGTTTTGGATGCTGCTCTCCAGCACCCCTTTCGGAGCAGCCAGTGTGCTTCCCATGGATGCTTGCTGCTGCCCTGAGCCCTTTATAACCTCAGTAGCCCCTGCTATAAGGCAGCATACTTGAGAACTAAAATGGCATGGTTTTGTAGGAGGGAGCAGGGGCTTTGTGGCAGGGAGCTGCAGGACATCCTGGGCACAGCATGGCCAGGTGGGAACATCCACTGTGTGTCTGCATTGGCTCTACAAAATTGCCCAGGGGCACAGCATCTCTAGCAAGAAAACCTCTGCAGCTCATTCTGTTCCCTTATCTTTTTAAAAAATGACACGGTCCAGCTCGTTTTGGCCATGGGGCACAGCAGCTCTGACAGCATTCCAGTGCTGTGGCATCCCGCTGCCCGCCTCTCCGAGGGGCCAGGGCTGATCCAGAGCAAGACAGCAGCTTGGCGTTGCAGTGGGAAGCAGAGGTGTGTGGAGTGCTGTAGGTGTGCTGGCTGTGCCACGTTGCTGTTGGGGTAGAGCTGGTGCTGCAGTGAGCCCTTGTGGGATGTTGGTGGTGCGTGGGGTTGGAGGGCTGTGCAAGCTGGTTATCGCAGGGCTGGGGAAAGCAGGAATAATGGAGATAATGGAGAGAGGTGGCTTTGGTGGGGCTGCCTGATTTTTCCGGTGCTCCAGAGGGTTGCTGAAGTTGATCAGGAAATGCAGCATCTCTCCCTTATAAATGTTTTGGGCTGAGGCACTGGGGTGAGTGGAATGGCATAGCTGGGTGTGGGAGTGATGGCTTTGGGTTGGGCCAATTCTTGGTATCCCCTGGGTGAGCCAGTGCCCTTGCCCCTGCCTTCAGTTTCACGGACCAAGGGGGAAACAGCCTGCAGGCCCAAGGCTGCCTCGTCCTGTTCCACTTGGCTGGGGGTGGTGTGGGGCTGTGTGTCAGTGGGCTGAAGCCGGCCCCAGGGGGCACCCAGCAGGCTTTGACAGCAGCAGAGGTGGCTGGCTGCGGGCTCTCTCTGCTCCACGCTTTGGTTCACAGGTTTTGGGCTGCTCCCAGTCGTCCTCCACGTCCTCGGGTTGTGGTTCCAGGAAATCCTTCAAGGTGGAGAAGTATCCCCCAAAGGGGTGGCAGCTGATGTGTTTCAGCAGCTGATTGCAGTATGCGTGACAGAAGCCGGTGAAGACAGCGGGTGCAGGGCCCCCATCCTCAGCTCTTGGGTAAGGCTGTCTGTCCTGCCAGGGGAGCACTGCGATGGGTCCTGCCTCACTCCAGCCTCCCCTGGATGCATCCTTCAATCCTTGTGTCTCCAGGCTCCTCTGCTCCTTGAAGTGGGGGTTGGCTGCCAGCCGGCTGGGCTCTGGGTTGGGGCGAGTTCTGCTCGCCGCCCCATTGCCCTCCAGGCAGTGGTGTTAGTGGCAGTGGCAGGACTCTGCCTCACTCACCTGGGCCAGCAGCTTCTTCTTGGCCAGCAGAGACGTGATGGGATGGTTGCCTTTGGAGTGAAAGCTGGGAAAGAGGCACTTGCAGGCTTCATTGTGGGCGCAGCGAGTGCCGGGACACCCCCCAGAGGGTGAGAATGTGCCGGGGCCGTGGGGCTGGCACATTGCTCCACTGGCCAGCCTTGCTTGTGGGCCTCTGTTGGGTCTTCCTGGGTGGGGAATGCAGCCATCAGGAGGTACCCGGAGGGGCAAATCTGCTCAATGCGTCTTTAAGATGGGGAAGAAGAGTATACGTATCTGAGAATGCCTCACTGGTGTAAAAATGTCAGCACTGATGGATAGCTGTGATGGAAACTTGTGTGAGAGCAATAATTCAGTAATAAAATAGGTCAGATCCTTACGCTGAAGTTGGGTACCTTACAAGAACCATTTTGTGATTCGGTGTTTGGCAGTTTGCTCTGCATGATGTGGATGGTGGAGCTGTGATGATGTAATCCATTTCCAGTTGTGAACAGGATTGCTCTAAGAGCTGCTGCAGTGAGATGCGTGTGGGCTGACTGTAAGCTGAAGCGTGATTGCCTCTGAATATCCATGTGTGTGGGGGGATTTTGTTTTTAATTCTGCGATTTCATCCTTGTCCTACAGCAGCTCTGAAGAGGCCCTTGTTTTCCCAAACCCTGCTTTGCTGCTAATGGAGGCTGATGGCAAGTGCTGTGCTTTGGGCCCTTTGCTTTTAGTTTCTGTGGCCTGTGTACCCTGGAGGGTGCTTTCTTTCACATTTTTTTTGTTTGCTAGCCACCTTTTTGGTAGATAACATTTATTAGGGATGTTCTTGCTCTCCTGTGGTGGGTATGTGTTGGTGCTGGACCAGGGGAGGTTATCAGAAAAGGGAAGAATTTGCTGCACTAATTGAATTGTAGCCTTTTAGACAAACGGAAGTTAAGGTGCTGATACTGCGCTGTGTAGCTGGAGGACTTCCTCAGGAATAATCTGGGTCTTTATCCCCAGTTCCCAATTGGAGCTTCTCCACGTGTTTCTACCCATATTGGAGCAGACCTGTACCTTGGAGGCCAGATCTGGGCAGTGAAAAGCTTAGTCTTGAGGGATGTGGACTGCCCACGTTAGTATATGAAATGTTGAGGCATGGAAGAGAACAGCCAGTTTACAGCTGAGGACTAGTTTGCCTTTCCTCTTAAATTCTTGCCCCTGGTTTCTGTGAGCACTGTTACCCACTGCTTGCAGTGAGACTCAGCCCTGGGTCTGAGGGGGCCTGGTGCTTAGCGAGGTGTAACTGCAGCTCTGCCCTGAAGCAAACTGCAGCCCAGCAGTATCACAGGAGCTGGAACACCTGGTGTGTGCTGGGTTTTAAACTGGACGTGCTTTAATGGTACGGGACTTGTGGGCTGCCACTCGTTCCCTTGGGAGATTTCTGTAAGGCTGTTGGAAGACGTTAGGACTGCCAAGTGTCCTCGTGCCCTTCTGTCAGCGATGACTGTTCTCAAGGCACACATATAAGCAGAGTCATACTGTCAGGTTTGTTTTTTAAGCAAAGAGACAAAAATGAAATAGGGCATTCTTAGCTTGGGTCAGTTCCCTAATCTGGTGCAGCGCGTGGTCTCACACTGAGAAGGTGATGGCTGAGCAAGGCTGGGGGCTGCTGGTGCTCCTTAGGAGGGCAAGGAGCTGAGCTGTGCTCCTGGCTGGAGCCAGCAGGTGTGTAAATGGCTGTGCTGAGGGGTCAGGCCTTGCAGAGAGCTGGGGCCAGCAGCTGGGAGACGACGGCTTCACAGCCAGCCCTCCTGCAGATCACCATGACTTGTGTTGGGCTGCAGCCTTGCATGATGCCTCGGGTCAAGCAGGGGGCTGGAGGCAGGTGATGTTACTGGGTGGGAACCACCAAAGCGACAATCTTCCACATTCCTGTGCCTTGTACAGGCTGTGGGAACTGGAGTTTGTTTTAGAGTGAGTTGCAAACTTCTGCAGTGTCCAGTCTGCAGTGGTTCGGTCTGTCTGCTCTTGAAGTCAGTGGGAGCCTTCCTGGTAGTTTGGTTTTTCAAGTGCTCCACGAGAACCTTCCCTAAATGAAAGTATTTAGCTGTGGAAGCATTGGACTGTAGGCCAGCAGGCAGAAATGGTGTGTGCAGAGGGGTTTGTGAAAGTACCTTGCCCGTGAAGGAGCCTCTCTCTGTGCTGTGACTGCTGCAATACCATGATAAAAATAATAGAAAGGATTCTAATAACTAATGAACTTGTTCATTAACGGATTAAGCGTTGTCTTAAGGGCGGCAGTTGGAGTCCATCTAATAAAAGTTGGCTGGAGGTGTGTCCTGTGGCTATGGCAAACTTTGCTTTATAGTAGCCTGTACTTTTCAGTAGCTGCTTGCCACGCTGTGCTGTGGTTGGAGAGGGAGAAACAGAGCACTGGTCATTTCCCAGCAGACAGCGATAAGTTTCTACTCAGTCACAATGCTCTGTGATCTGACAGGTTTATAATTATTATCCTAAGATTGATGTATCTGAGGGGACTGTAAAGATGGGCAGCATTAAGAAATCAGTAATCATTGCATCTTGAAGTGCAGTTTCTGTACAACACTACAAATGCGCATCAAAGGTTTGATTCTAGGCTCGTCATTCCTCTCCATCCCTTCCTCTCCTCTGAACTCCCAAGTTCAGCATCCTTCGCTGTGTCACAAAAGGGACTGTGTGGTGGCCCATTTCTTTCCTGATGGAAAAACAGGGATGGTGATACCAGCACCATTGGAGAGGCCGTTGAACTTGCTGTGTGAGCTTTCCTTTTCCCACAGTGCGGTTTTGATCTTGGGAAAGTCCCGCTCTTCTCTTCCGCAGTTTCGTCCCTGCTGGATGAGGGTGATGAAGGTTCGCGCGCTGTTTCTCCATGAAGGGCTCTGGAAGGGCCATGTTAGCTGTGTGCAGAGCTGTGGTTCGTGCCCGTTTCCCTTTCCTCCCTCTCCCTCCTCATTCAGCCCTCGTGGAACATCACGAGTTTGGCCATCAGGTGCCGCCGTGTCCTGCAGGACTTCTTCCTTCTTTTGCTCTGAGTTCTCCCCAGTCGGGCCTGTTTTTGAGATGCTGTTGTAAGTGATGTAAGTGATGTGGAGAGCTGGAAAGCTCTTTATCTCAGAGCACAGCTGTTCACAGCTGGCAAATAATAGACTGTATGATGGAGTCTGGGAAACTACTTCAGCTTCTCTGTGGAAGGCTCAGCTGTACAGCACGAGGTTCTGAGCTGGTCCAGTTTTGCTCTCACATGGGAAATAGAGGATTGGAAAAGGAAATGCTGTTAGAGCAGTAAGAATGTGCTTATCTACCGACTTCGGTGGGCCTTGGCTAGGAGCTGCAAAACGCCTGACTAAGAGTGCTGACACTATTTCCTTCTTGTTTGTGTTCATTCTTCCTCTAGGTTTTGTTAGAATGGGTTGAAACATTTTTTCAAGTGTAATTTAGAATCGTAGAACTATGAAGGCTGAGAAGCCCTCTGAAGTCATCTAGTGCAGCCATCACCACCATGTCCATTAAACCATGTCCTCCGTTTAGGCAGCTCAGCTGCTGACTGAAAAGTGAGACATTCCTTGATGATATCTTCGTATCTTATATCTGCTGTATTTGTTGTCCAGGTCTTATTTCACGTTCTGTTTTCTCATCTACCCCAATAAAAGCACACTCGTCTTGGGCAGGATGTGGCAACTTGAGTGCTGCTTTTTACTGTCCTGAGAACTTGTAATGCGTGGCTGTTCAGCAGTGTTTCCAGTTCTGAGATGGGGAGAGCAAGACAAAAACGTTTATTACGTCTTCCCTTCTCAGGTGCAAGAGTCTCAGGTTACGTCCAGAGGTCTGGCAAGGATAGA